AGTTCTTGGTTTGCTTTTCTGCTCAGTTGAGGCGTTTGCTTAGCATTTGCTAGAGGTGTTTTATTGCTGCTTCCAGTTTGATGCTTTTACCAATTGAGTTTTGCGTTGGCACTTAAAGCGCAATCGGAGAGGCTACACACTCCAACGGCAATCTGCACCACTTTTCACCTTGCTAAGCTGTTCGTCTTCCAAAGACACCACTTGAAGCTGCGTTTGTTTGTGAGTGACGATTGTTCCCCTCGTCAGCAGTGACAAGCTCGTCACTTGTCCCACTTCTTCACTACACCGACTTCGCACCTGTAGCAAAGCATGAGTTACGCACTGTCTATGAGGTCAAATCCACGCCCGCATATTGTTGTTCTTCACATCATCAACAGGAATTATTTACTGTCTTTTCTCTAGCTTAAATTTGGCTTCCTCCACTCGTCTGCCGGTAGACGGTGGAGCAAATGGCAAGCAAAAAAGTGTATAGCAGCCAGAGACAAAGCAAATCGTACAATTTATCGCATGCAATTTGTTAATAGACGTGGTGATTCGCGATCAACGAGGAGTGCAAAAGGCCTCTTCACGCTAATTTGACAAAAAATTATTGTACTGTGAAACCAGTTTAATTGATGACGTGTTTAGCATGACCAAAATTAGCCTTCAAGGAAACTTGCAACACATGCTTTCTGACACATTATTTTTCATTTTTTTGATGAAACCCACTTCCTGTCCACCCACTATGCAACAAGAGAACATTTTCTGGAAATAAGTGCTCTCAGTTCTTGCAATTCACGATTATCATTAGTATCATCATTACTCCGAGATAAGCGCGCTTCCGTGTGACAAACACGTAGGCTGGCTTAGCGCCGCATGTGATCGATTTAAGGTAAAAGTAGGGACCCGAAACGGTTGGAAAGTTGAGCAGTGGCAGTAGTGGACTCATCCAGGGAATCCAGTTGAGTGTCAACAGCTTACATTCATAGCCGAGGTAGATACCAAAAACAATAACAGCTGGATTTACGGTTACCATTTTTTTAATGAAGATTTATCTGTTCAAGTGTACATAATAGCATGCCTTGATTTCATAAATTAGGTAGAAGAGAGCAGTAAAAGTGACTGTCATTGCCAAATACCTGTAGAAGGAGAATTTGTTTCGCCAAGATGTCAGTGCCAAAATAATAAATTTGAATGAACAAGAATGGCTGTATGAGTAGAGGCTAGTTTCTCTTGCGTTGCATTGAGAGCAAAGGAAATATTGTGGGCAAGTTTATATAATTTGAATAACAAATTCTGTGACAGAGGTAGGGAGAAGTATTTGTAGGGAATGCAAAACTCAACAATAAGCATTGATTAACATTAACTTGAACACTGCCTATTTTGCCCTATTTGGCACGAATAGATGCACTCATTAATAGCTTTAGGTACTTGTGGTAGAACTGACAAACCTCACCCACTGATACTAATCAGCTCCAATGCAGATTGTTTTGCCTTCATTGATGCAACCGTCTTAACTCCAATTTTGCCGGTGACTTACACATTTACGAAATTTCAATAACTTTTGAAAAGGTAGAACATTTCACTTGTATCACCAAAGCTGTACGTGTACGCTTTATTCAGCATTCGCGGCATCTCACGTGTAGCCTGCAACTACTACAAAGTAACCTAATTTACTTGTGCGCAGAGTGCCTCATTTCTTTATCCTATTTAATGAATGACCAGTATTTAATTCTAGACCCCATAAAGCCTTCACCTGGTGTTCCATTGACATCTCCACTTGCCGGATCCATTTATCCGTGCCTTCAGGATATTAGCACTTGGTGCTGGTGAGCTTGGTGCATTATCTATCTGTGACGTAGAAAGAACGTTTTTTCTTTTATTTCCAAAGGAGATAACAAGCTAGATGTCAAATCTTTGGAGACGGTTTTAATTTCCTTGCAATACTAGAGATTTCTTTTAAGATCTGCATATTGGCAGCTTCCATAAATGCTTGTCAAAGTTAAACTCATCTCTCGTGTCTCAACAACATGCAGTAGCAGGCTTTAATGGCAACATCTGCAATGAAAAACGTCAGGTCCAGGTCTTGCACCTATCAAATTACCTGCCGTCATTGCTTCTTTTAACACTAATGCGATCAAAATGGCGCATACTTACTTTGATTTTTTGACTAAATGACTAAATCTTTAGACTAAATGGCTTTATTCTAACATCCGGCATGATTGGAAGAGGTGCAAGGTTCTCTGCAAACATTTGTTTCATCCCCACCTACTTTATGACCTTTAGCGTCCTAGCTATTTCCTTAAAATACGGCGGCCGTTGAGGTGGCAGCGACGATGAGGATGAAGAGAAGGTTGAAAATGGCGATTAGAAGGAGAAAGGAAAAAAGAAATGACATCACTATTTCTACATGATTAGGGTTATCCATAACTTCCACCACCACCGTTAGTTTAACTGCCAAACATCAACATCAGCAGCAGCATCAACACCACTGAGCCCCCCATACAAGCACCATAGTAACACCTTGATAAGCAACAACAACAGGTTAAATGTGATCTCCGAAATGGTCAATCGGATGAAAATGGGATATCTCGAAACGGTTTTCTTTTCCCTTAAAATAATATCAAGGCATTGGGGTTTCTGAAAACCGCCTTCTATTTAATTACCGTATGATATAGCTACCTGCTACTCCAGTAGAGCTAGGCAAGTATTGTCCTGATTGCTCTTTCTTACCCCATTTTGACTGATTCTTGATTAACCGACTGTTTTATTGCCTGGTGGTTTGGCTATTTGCCAACTGGCCAGTTGACTGACAGATTGATTAATTCCTCGACTAACTGATTGG